GGGATTGGGGGGGAGGGGGGAGGCTGGGAAGTGATGTGAAGGGTAAACAAAGGAGGAGGCTGCAATGCTTGGTAAGAAATTTACGCATTATCCTGCCCATGCAATTGTAACCCCTCTGTACAGTATGTTCACAAATAAAATAAAATTAAATTAAAAAAAAGAAATTCCATGTTTAAGCATCTATACTACAGGAAAAAAATAGCATACAAAGTACCTGATATATATACTAGGCTATTTACCACAGTGAAAGCTCATGTTTATCTTATATAATGCAAAATACATCCAGCCCATCATTGAGAGTCCTCATAGACTTTTAGCAGTTTCAGCATTGTTCCAAGGCCAAGTTCAAAGTTTCCTCTGAGACTCAAGGGAAACTTTTAGCTGTGCACAAGAAGTGGAATTTAAATGAAAACTAGAGGCTTCCATCATACAATTGCACAGAGTAAACATTTCCATCCCAAAAGGATGAAAGGAGGGCATGGAAAGGAAGTGGACCAAAGCAAAGCACAAGTGTATCAGGGAAAACATTAAATTTTGTGGATTCATGTCTGGCATCCAGTGTACTTGGTATGTGATGTAATCACCAAAGGGAGTGGGTACTGCTACAGCCTTGCTGATTTAAAGCCTATTTTGCCTCTTGGGCTGGATCTGCTCGCTGCCTGTGGCTTTCCTCAGAAGATATTCATGTTCCTGGCATTCCTAACTTCTTGGAGTCATCACTGTTTTCACCTTCACCCTCACAAATTCACACTCTGACCTTAATGGCTCCCTAGAGGGGATCTTGATTGTGTTACACATTGCCTGGCTTCTCCACGGGCCTTCCATCAAAATGTGAGGAGAAGTCTCCATGACCTCATTAACTCTTGAATTCTGCATGCCTGCCCTAATTTCTTAACAGGACATATGAAAATACTATGCACATACATATAAGTATGTATGTGTATGCATATCTATATACAATGTATACGTATGTATATCTACAAGCATAGTTCTCTTTCCATAACCATACAAGATTAGGTCCAGAACCCTCTCAAAAAAAAAAGTCTGAGGATGCCAACTCTAAGATACCATAGTATTTCTTATGACCTACATGTATTCTTCTGTGTGCTTTAAATCAATTCAAGATTAATTTAATACAATGCAAATGCTATGTAAAGCCATACGTGTTAAGTACAGATGTAATTGTTGTTGCTGCTGCTTGTTTTGCACTACATAGCCCAAGCTGAGCAGGATCCTCCTGCATCATCTCCTGAGGACTGGGATTATAGATACGCACTATCACAACTATATCAGATACATGTTTCTCCCAACTGATATAAAGGTATTCAAGTTATTTTTTCTTAAGTAAGTTTGGGTAGTTTGGGGTTTCAAAGAACCTATTTTACCTACAATTTTGGATTTGTTGATGCAGACTAGTTTGTAACATTCCCTTTTACCTTTTTACTGCCTGTTGGACCTATAGTAATAATCCCTCTCATTCCTGATCTTGGGCATCTGTCTCTATCTCATGGGTTTTGGAATAGGTATCATCGATATCTCATCAATGCAGGCAGCAGGAGACAGTCTGGGCTGCAAACTCTGAAACCCACACACTGACATGTGACTCAGGAGCACAGCCTTCTCAAGACAAAGAATCAGTCTATTTGGTACTCCCATCAGATTCTTTCACTGCATCTTCTGCCACTTTTAGAGACTCTAACTTCTACCATACTTTTCTCTCTTTTCTAGTTTTAATAATTTTCTAGTTTTAATAGTCTTTAATAGTTTCAATGAGAGCACACATCCCTATATGTAAGTGTAGAGGCTCTCAGCCCTTGAAGCCTGAGGCAACCCATGTACTCTGCAGCACAGCTTCTCAGGGCACTCAGACCTCTTCCTTTCCTTTTTGTTATGTGCCAGGACTAGGTCTTAAACTCAGGGCCTTGAATTCTCCGTTAGCAATTTTGTTCAACTCTACCACTTGAGCCACACTTCCATTTCTAGGATTTGATGGTTAATTGAAGATAAGAACCTCATAGATTTTCCTACTCAGGTTGGCTTTAAACTGTAATCATCAGAGCTCAGCCTCCTGAGTAGCTAAGAGTACCAGCATGAGCCACTAGTGCCTGGCTCAGACTACTTTCTTATACACCGCTCATTTCCCCCAGAGCAAATATCCCAAAGAAGCAGGCAGAAGTGTCCCAGCCTTGCAAGGTCCAGAGCATCTACCATGATCCACTATGAAAGCAGGCATAATCTCCCCAGATTTAAAGAAAGGACACAGAGCCCACTCATTAATGGGAGGAGTGGCAAGGTCACATGGTAGGGGACCTGGCAGGATGGGAGATAGAATGGGGCCATCTTTCAAAACACCACTTGTCACTTAGAGACTTGAGGGCCTTACTGATGGTGAAGACATTTAGCTTAAAAAACCACTCTTTGGGATTAATCACACCCTCATTCACTAAAGGTCAGAATACAGGTGAGTTTTACTGGGAAAACTAAATAGGAAGATTCATTTTTAGGTTTGTTTGATTTGAAAGTGAGGATTGGACCCTCTAGTAGAAAACGCATAGCTTTGTAGCCACCAAGAACTAAATGAGGACCATCAGCAAGCTAGTCCTGCAGGCTTTGTTGGTTCATGCCTATAATCTCAGAGGCAATCTGAGAGGCAAAAGTAGGAGGATGGTAATCTGAAGCCAGCCTGGATTAAAAGTGTGAGAACTGGCTGAGACTCAAGTGGTAGAATTCCTGAATTCAACCCCACCCCCACCCCGTACTGCCACCCAAAACATAAAAATAAATTAAAATAAATTGAAAAACAACACTGATAAAAGTAACTGTTCTCAAGCTTAGGTTTAAAAGCACTAAGACATGATCCAACTGTACCTGGCTCTGCGAATGTGTAGCTGGGGGTAATGATTTTCCCTGTAACATATATATACTGCAAAGTCTTCACTGTACGACAGAGACGGAACGGTGCCCACTTGGTCAAAAACAGTTATGAGAGTTGAACCTGAATCAAAGGAAGAAAAACATGACATCATTTGATCAAGGAATAGCTTTGAGAAACTTCAGACTAAAATGTAATCTCTGTTCAAAAGCATGTGTGTGTGTGTGTGTGTGTGTGTGTGTGTGTGTGTGTGTGTGTGTGTGTGGTGTGTCCTGAAGCTTGAACTCAGGGCCTGGTACTGTCCCTGAGCTTTTTTGCTCAAGGCTAGTGCCCTACCTTTTGAGCCACAGCTCCACTTCTGGTGAACTCCAGATAAGAGTCGCATGGATTTCCCTGCCTGGTCTGGCTTAGAATTGAGATCCTCAGATCTCAGCCTCCAAGGTAGCTAAGATTACAAGCATGAACCACTGGTGTTCAGCTCAAAATCATGTTTGAATGGCTGTAATCAGGTATGTACATGACACACTGACAGCTGGAGACTACACTTCTCCCCCCTTGCCAAGAGTAGCACTGTGAACCAGAGTCCCCCATGTCAGTTATGGGGAGAGGAGGAGGCCAGGGGCCTTACCTAGACTCATGAAGGATGGCACTATCAGGAATATATAGTGCAGTTCTGGCACAGTCTTAAACACTGTCCTGGCAAGGAAAGAGTGGGTGTTAATAACAGAGAAATCCCATCAGGTTGCCCCTTATGGGGACAAATGCCACCACTGGAAAAACTGTGTCTAGAAGCCCACAGGTTCGCCTTTGTTCTCTGTCTGCGAATGCAGATCATTTCCAGGGCAGTTTTTCTTCGATTGCAAAGGGCTTCTTTGCTTTCTGTGCCATGGAGGTCCAGGGAATAAAGGGCACCATGTCCACACGGCACACCAGATTTCTGCTGACATTAACCTTTGACCTGGCATCTGGATAGTTTGGTGTGACATTACAAAGTGACTTGAAAGCTGAGCACCCCCCCCAATAAAAAGAAAAAAAGTCTGTGCCGGCTGTCAGGATCATGTCACTAGGACTCAATGGCCCTAGGGAATCATCTTTCCCGGTGTCTTATTATTCAGGATGCTTCTGCAGCCTGCCATGATAACACACTGCTAAGGATGACATGGAGAAAACCCATTTGGGGGAAACAAAACATCTATTTATAACACTTTTCTCTTCCGCTACCTCTCAAAAATTCGTTTCTTTGAGTGACTCTTCTACCTGTTAACCACAGATAATAGCAGTGATAGACATGAACTATATGGAAAAGTAGATTGATAGAATTTCAGCTGATTTTCTTATAGCAATATTGTGGCTGTTAAAAAGTTAATTTTATTAATCATGAACAGTAAGCAAAAGAAATCCTCCCCCCACCCTCCCGCAAGAATTACATGGCATGTCAAAACTGTGAGAACTGGAGGCATAACTCAAATGGCAGAGCACTAACTGTGACTGGAATAGCCAAGGAAAAGCATTGAGTCCTTGAGTTCAAGCCTTAGTACTGGCACAAAAGAAAAAAAAACCTGTACACAACACCTCTTCCATGCTCCCTATGAACAAAGTTCTGTACTCACTTGATGATCTCTTTGCAGCAGCCAGTGGAATACTCATCAACAGCCACGAACAGGTGCAAGAACAGTGTGTTCAGAGGCTGCAGGAGAAAGGAAGACTAAAGATTAAACACTGAGTCAGCAAACTGCCTGGTACACAGCCAGTGTGAGGAGAGGCGATCAGGGCAGCCAGACCCAGGGCTAAAGGCATTTGGAGATGACACATGTCTAAGGGATGAGACATCCAGGTGGCATTTGAGTCCTCTATAACAACTCCTTCTGTTGCCTTCTGTCCTAAGAGCTGAGAATTATTTAAGAAAACTGGGATCATAATGAGGTGCAAGCTACTGCACCCGTGTTCTTCCTTCCTGCCCTCACAGGTGCACTGTGGGCAGGGAAGAGCCTGCAGGGGAGTGAAATCAATTATGAACTCCATCATTTTGTCTCCAAGGGTGTCTATGCTAACTGAAAGACAATCGCCCTCCCTCCAGGGCTCCTGAGTCAGCAGCTGCTGCTCTATTCACAGGACATGAGGGAGGGAAAGATTCTGTTATGAAATTGAAGGATGGAAGGCAGATGTCACGTTAGGGATCGAAAGGCTTGTTTTGTTGAACATTCCCAGAGTCCGAATCCAATATTACTCTTAGGATGCAGAAAACCTGGGAACTGAAAGCTCAAAGTTAACAAGATTCTAATAGCCTTTCAGAGTAAATCCTTACTTTTAAGAGTTTTTCATCCTATAACTTGTTAAGACTGTTTAACTGGCTTAAACAATAAATAGTAGTGTAGTTCTATCTATCTATATAGCAGAATATTGTGTCCATAAGCAAATCTTCAAATCCAAAATTTAGTTCATACAAAGTAATTGACTAGAGAGGGCAGTGCTTGTACATTTGTCAGGACAGTAACAACCTGTCTGAGCTCCTGTTTTTCTGGGTACAGTCAACCCTCAGTTTCACTGGGGGATTGGTTCCAGGAATTCTGCAGTTCCATCCATAAATGCTCGACTGAAGTCAGAACAGAGTAACACCTATAATCACCTATAATCACAACTATTTGGAAGGCAGAGGTAGGAGGATGGCCCAAAGTTGGCCTGGGGGGGGGGGCGGGGAAACCTAAGTCTTATCTGGAAAAACAAACCAAAAGCAATAAAGCTGGAGGCATGGCTTAAGTGAGAGTGCTTTGCCCAGAAAGTAAGTCCTAAATTCAGTCCCTTGTATCTCCAAGGGAAAAAATTTGCATATAACCTGTGCAATCCGCCCACACATTTTAAATATGTCTATATTGCTTACAATAACTAAATATGATATAATTGCTATGCAAATGGTTGTTATGCTGTATTATGTAAGGGAGAAAGTCTGCACATGCTCAATTTGTTCTGAACATTTTCTATGAGAAACTGGTGGAATCCTCAGATGGAGAACCACAAATTCTGATCCAACTATAGTTCTCTAGGTAGCCTTGGGTTACCAACCCTACATTGTGTGCCAGTATCACTCCTGGTGGATGGTGTAAGACTTAGAAACAGTCATGAGTTTGATTTGTGGATTGAAAGTTCTCAGAAAACAAACAATACAAACTAAAGTCCAGTGAACCATAGTGACAGAATTTTAAGCACTTTCAATGTATTAACTCCTTTACTCCCATGACAGATGTGTGTGTGTGTGTGTGCGCGCACGCGGACGTGCGTGTGCATGTGCGTGCGAACCCACACACACGCGTGCATGCTGAAACTGAGGCATGAATTCAAGACTTGGAGTTCTTGCTTAGCTTTTTCACTCAAGGCTGGCATTCTACCACTCCAGCTATACCTCTGTTTCTGGTTTCTTTGTTAGTTAAGTGGAGATAAGAGTCTCACGGACTGGTCTGAGCAGGCTGGCTTTAAACCTTGGTCCTCAAGATTTCATCCTCTTGAATGGCTAGGATTAAAGGTATCAGCCACCAGTATCCATGCATCCAATCAATATTTTCTCTTCTCACATTAAGGCGTTTGGGACACACTAGTGAAAGATGAGGGCAGAAACTGGGACTGTCCCTGGCCTGGCTCTCATAGACCACACTCAAGAGTACCCAGGTTGGGGCTGAGAATGTGGCTTAGTGGTAGACTGCTTGCCTAGCATGCATGAAGCCCTGGATTCGATTCAGTACCATACACACAGAAAAAGCCATGGTTGGCGCTGTGGCTTAAGTGATAGAGTGCCAGCCTTAAGCAAAAGAAGCTCAGTGACGGCATCCAGGTCAAGCCCCACAACTGGATTGGAAAAAAAAAAAAAGAGTACCCAGGGTGGACTCTCAGAAACTACTGACTTAATTCCAGTGAGCTGACAGGTTGTCATGTAACTGCAGCTAGAAGACATCAGATAAGTCACACTCTGCAAGGGCACCTTGCAAATCAAAGAATATGACTTAAGTCCAAGGTTCTGTTGTCATTATTACAAGGGCAACTGTGTAGGTAACAGAGGTCCTGAAAGCCTAACAAAACCTCAGAGACAGCAGGATGCAAACATCTGACACTTCCATGAATTCCTTGCTCCCATTTCTCATTAGCAGAGCAAGGGCCAAGCCTTGCCAGCACCTGGTTGACTAGGTTATGCTGCTACCCCCAGCTCACATCAGTTTGAACTGTCATGTATTTTCTGTGGATTTTGGACTTCTCAGTCCAAGAGCTGAAATGACAGCATTGTAAACCCAGGTCTTCCCCTCCGGGTTAAGGCTGTTCTGACAGGCATGGAGAGGTGGTGGGGCGGGGGGGGGGGAGGGGGGAGGGAGAGGGGAGGGGAAGGAGGTGGAAATCTTACTGTGCATGGGAGGTCTTTGTCCATCTCACGGAACACAGAAATCCAGCCATCCTGCCTGGCAACATTCCAGTTGGGATAGTCCACGAAGGTGGCCTGGGCCATGATCTCCTCTTTGTCATTGCAGAGGGTGACGGCAAGGTTTGCCTTTTCTCTGTGGAATGATTACAGATCCAGATCGAACACATGAATCAAGATGACCAAAGCAGAAGTGAGAAATAGGTCATTTTCTCCCTCCCTGGGCTCCTGGAGCTTAGTCTCTACTGCCTGAGGGCTAACATTTCAAGAGACAGGAATGACACTGTAGCCAGCTGAGGGTAGAACTTGAAGGATATTTGTTATTATCCACTCAATTCTTATTTAAAATTACTTTTCACTAGATAGATGATATAGTTGTAGAATCAGCTGTTTCCTTGGAAGACTGGCTAGGAAAATTACAACTGTAGTTTTCCCTATCTTAATCTCCATGTCACCAATACCTGTGTCAGTCTAAACTCACATTTAGGATGGCCAATGGTCCCTCTGCACAGGACTGATGGGATTCCCAGGACGTGAGACCTTCAATGCTAAAACCAGCTAAGTCCTGAGCAAACTGAGATGACATGGGCTATTGTATATCCATCAGTATTCTGGCCCTGGGGCTTGAACTCAGGGCCTGGGTGTTATCCTTGAGCCTCTTCATTCTGAAGGCTAGCACTCTAACACTTGAGCCATACTGTCAGTTCTGGCTTTTTCTGAGTGGTTTATTGGAGTTAAGAATCTCCTAGACTTTCCTGCCTGGGCTGGCTTAGAACCACAATCCTCAAATCTCAGTCTCCTATGTAGCTAGGATTACGGACATGAGCCACCAGCATCTGGCCTGGATTAGATTTCTTTGATTTGGTTTTATATAGGATCTATGTAGCCCAGGCTGTCTTTGAACTCTCATTATCTTCCCGCTTCTGAATTACCCAAGTATATCACTATGCCTGGTTGAGACTTTTATTTTTAATACTGGAGGGCAGCTCTATGTGGAAATATACTTCGTTTGTTTTTAGAGATGGAACTACATGATCCATAATGTTTATGACCTGTTTTTTCGATATGATAGTGCATCACATTACTAGAACAGTTCATCAAACAATCCTTTAATACCTATATGCTTCCTGTACTTTTAACATCATATTTTTCTTTAAAACTATTTTTGACTTAAATAGAAATACTTTAACAGAAAATTTATATCTATACTATAAATGGAACACTAGTCTCCTTTGCTATCACTAGGAAGACACTTTTATAAAAAAATAAAATTTTAGCTAGGACCAGTGTCTCTTGCTTTTAATTTTAGCTATTCCTGATACTAAGATCTGAAGGATCACGGTTTTAAAGCCAGCTCTGGTACAAAAGTCCTCATGATTCTTTCTCCAAAATAACCAGCAAATAGCTGGGCTGGAAGCATGGCTCAAGAATGTCAAACTGCAACAATGAGATGTACAAGTCCTTATGTCAGAAAAACGAAAAATTATCTTTACAACTTGGGCGGGAGGGGGGGGTTTGGAAAGGGATGGGAAGGGAAAACAAAGGAGGCAACAATGGTTGATAAGAAATGTACTCATTATCTCGCCCATGTAATTGTAACCTCTCTGTTCAGTATTTTCACAATTAAAAAAAAAGAGGGGCTGGGAAGGTGGCTCAGTGGTAGAGCACTTGCCTTGCATGCCTGAAGCTCTGGGTTCGATTTCTCAGCACCACATAAGCAAAAAGAAAAAAGCCGGAAGGGGCGCTGTGGCTCAAGTGGTAGAGCACTAGCCTTGAGCTGAAGAGCTGAGGGACAGCACCCAGAGTTCAGGCCCCATGACCGGACCCCCCCAAAAAAAAAAAAGAATGTCAAACTGAGCAAGCAAGCTAAGCAAGCCTGAAGCCCTGAGTTCCAACTCCAGTGCCACAAGATGAAACATTTAAAACAAGAGCTGCTTATGTATGTGTGAGTGTCACTAGCAGTAGGGCATCTCTGGGAAACATTGTGCTTAGGATGTCAATCTTGGCACCTGCAGTCCATCAAAGTGGATGGCCCCTCCAGTTGCTAGAATATAGTATCCACACAGGGGACCCATTAGCAAGAGGATACAGCCCTCCATGTTCTGAATTCAATGAATCCAATTCCCCTCATTCCATCCCTGAGATTATCTCCCTCTAGCTCTTAGTCTTTGGGACTTTGCTGCCCTGGATTCCCAGAACCATGACTTATGGCCTCAGGCTGGTTCAGATGAGAAAACACCCATGGCACAAGACTCCCTATATATCAGCTGGAAAAAAGAAAGGAAAGAAAGAAAGAAGGAAAGAAAAAGAAAGAAGGAAAGAAAGAAAGAAAGAAAGAAAGAAAGAAAGAAAGAAAGAAAGAAAGAAAGAAAGAAAGAAAGAAAGAAAGTGATCATGGTAGTGGTGGTGGTAAGGGAGAGGTGGTGGGGAGAGGGCGGCCACCATCCTCTCAGGGAAGAAGAGACATTGTATTCCTGGAATCCCAATTTTAACTTGACATGCATTTATCCATGGGAACCGTGGGGATGGTGCTTGGGCTCTGTAGTGTAATTAGCATGGTACCACCCTGCACAGACAGTATAGATTAAATAAGCTTTTGCCAGTTGGCCTGGGAAACCAGCCAGCAAAACTTTGTCTCAATGGGAAAACGCTCTACAATTTCCAAATGGCTACCTATCACAAAAAGTAACTTTTATAACATTATCCTTTTGTGTATATAATGTCTACCTGCTATTATTTCTTTAGTCATTACTATTTTACAGGGCAGATAAAAACCATCTTGGGAGTAAAAAAAATGGGAGCCCAGAGGAAGAAAAAGCGAAAGGGAGAGAAGGCATATTACCAACTAGATTTAAATCGCTCTTTGTAGTAATCAAAACTACAGAAACACTGTTAATGTATAAATTATTATATACAGATGTATACATAATGTATATACAAATGCATACACAAATTATGTTCTGATAATAGAAATTAGAGCTCATTTCATTAAAGCTGCATTTGTTCAATTTGTTTAGTAAATTTCCTAAGGGCAGCAACACTTACTTAAGTGCACTAGATGGAGATCTTGGTGTAAGAACATCTGCCTTTCTTTTAACTTCGCAAACAAGACACCTTGGTGTGGCCTAGCATCCATCATACACAGTGCCTTGTTCTCTCCTATCGCCTCCATGGAGTCTGCTCTGGACCTGGAGGTGGCTTCCAGCTCATTCCTTATTCTCTGCCTTGCCAAATCCACTGATTTTTGCCCTTAAAATGTAGCTAGATTTTTAAGTGAAATTGACTTTATTCATTCTGTATCTCTGTGCCTGAGCAATCCATTAAAAAATATAAATAGATGAGAAAAGAAACTAGTTGTTAAACCTTGAGATTGGACTGTCAAGGAAACAGACTATTTGGGTACCTATATCTGTTTTGGAAGTTCCAGTAAATGACAATATACATATTATTTTGCTTTTCAAAAGTATGCTAATTTCTAAGGTGGGCCAAAACTTTTTCTCTTGAGCATGAGTATAAATGGTAAAATATAGTCTATTCATTGTTTGTGGTGTTTATAAAAATACTGTTGGGGGCTGGGAAGGCGGCTCAGTGGTAGAGTGCTTGCTTTGCATGCATGAGGACATGCGTCTGATTCCTCAGCACCACATAAGCAGAAAAAGCCGGAAGTGGCACTGTGCTCAAGTGATAGAGTGCTAGCCTTGAGCTGAGGAGCTGAGGGGCAGTGTCCAGGCCCAGAGTTCAAGCCCCAAGACTGACAAAAAAATATATATATATATACATATATATATACATATAGTTGGCTTTTGTTTACTGTCTTACTAGTTTTAGTGTCCATAGTCATCTATAATTAAACAGAAAGGAAGGACAGATATTTTAAGAAAATTAAATCTATATTTTCAAGTTTAGAACATTTTAAGCAACGGGTAAGAGCAAACCCAGGCTCAGCCACTTATGTCCAACTCCTATGTAAAATGGTTATAAAAGCACAGCAGGCATCTCAGAATCAGTAAGACAATGCTGCTAAGCACAAAGCCTTATAAAAGTAATATTATTAGGTTGTCCTAAGTGCCTCCACAAGGGGCCGGGGCAGCTGAAGTTTTCACAGAGCCCATGAGAAGTCTTTCCATTTGCATTTCATTAGACACAGAGATTGGTTGTTTCCAGTGATTTGTTGCTGTACATTTTTTTTTACTACACTGTGAGCTGCCTGTTTCTCCAACCTAAGTCCCATAAGGACAGAGGCTAATAGAATTCTTAACTTTGTTTTCTAGTGCTGAGGATCAAGCCTAGGGCCTTATGCATGCTAGGCAAATGTTCTGCCACATGGCTAGTCATGTCATAAAATGGATAAACACTCATGAATTCACTCAGTTATATACTTACAGAAGATAGATGATATTAAGTCTCCCAAACAGTTTCTGGGTAAATTTTCTGATGAGGTTTTTGATACAATAAATATCCTGTGATTCTGTTCTGCGGCAATGAATCACCTCTACCTTCCCTCTGGGAGAAGTGAGTATGGACATTTTTTTTCCTATCCAAAAGAGAGAAAACAATCTATTATTAATCTGAAATGACCCGCTGGTTTGTTTAAAGTACTCATATAACTGTACAGTTTCTATAGGATCAGGACAAACATGTATGATTATATATGTATGACTCAACACTGTGTGTGTATTTCCCCTGGCAGTAGTCACCACAAACTAGCCAAAATGAAAATTAGCCTATCTAACACTTTCTGCAATTGTATCCTTTGTTTCCAACAAAAAAACTGCTTTAAAATATTCTAACAGTGGGATTATAAAATGTTGAAAGAATTTACAGATTTGGTTTCCTTCACTGGCCACCATGATATGTTATCAAGAGTTAGAGAGGACACAGGTATAGACAGCTGTTGTCCATCTTTCAAATAGGAGTTTCCCAAATCGAAGCACAAGGATGGCAGTTCTGTGAGTTATGTTGATATTTAAAAAAAAATTCTGAGGTCACATGAATGCAGAAAATCCTGCTAGCAATAGCCTTTTTGAGGAGTCACCGTGTTGACTGCACGGGTTTAGAAGTGTCTTCAGAAAGCCCAAGTACTAGGGTATGGTTGCTGGCCTGTGGCACTACTGGGAACTGGTGGAAGCTTTAGAGTATAGGGTCTACATGAAGAAAGTCAGCTCGCAGGAGCAATATCAAGGAGATATTGCTTCCCCACCCCACCCCCAAGTCCCTTCCTGGCTCTCTGTTTTCTGGCCATGATGAGCTGAGCAGGCTTGTTCCACTATGATGTTCCTAGGTCCAAAGCAATAAGGTTAAGAACCATGGACTAAAACCTCTGAAAGTGTGGGCCAGAACAAACCTTTCTTTTTTTATTAATAAGTTCTTTTATTGTGAAAATACTGTACAGAGGGGCTACAGTTACATGAGCAAGGTACTGAGTACATTTCTTATCCAGCATTGTTGTCTCCTCCTTTGTTTTTTCCCTACCATCCCTTCCCTCCCACCTCCTCAACTACACCCTCCCACCCCCCCCAACCCCTCCTAAATTGTAGTTTGTTTTTCAACATAGTGTCTTGTACATCTCATTGTTGCAATGGGTGAATCTGTATCCCTATTTAAACATTTTGTTTTTTCCCTTCCCCTCTCCAAATTATGCCAACATCAAATACAGTGAAAACAGGGGTTATAACATGGGGGAAGGGCATACAAAGCGACAAAAAAAATCACAAGGTACCTTATAAATATGTTAGAAACAATAGCAAGGAATAAAAAACCATTTGTGTCCCTATTTTGGGGTTCATTTCCCTTAACACCATCTTATCTGAGCTATTCTGCTTGTCCCAGACATATACTAGTTATTGCAAATAAGGGAGACCATGGAACCTATGTTTCTTTGGGCCTGGCTTACTTCACTTAATATAATTTTCTCCAAGTCTTTCCATTTCCTAACAAATGGGGAGATGTCACAGAATAAACCTTTCTTATTTATAAGTTGATAAGTATCTCAGGTTATTTTGTCACAATCATGGAAAGCTGACTAATCCACCCATTAAAGACTTCGAGAACTCCCACAATGAAGTAGCCTGCTTTCTTTGTAAAACAGCATTTTCCTCATCTTTAGAACCTTTTTCTTATATTTAAGTAGTTGTACAAAGGAGGTGGCATATAACAAAATAGTGTGTTAATACAATGAATCTTCATCAGCATCACCCCCTTCAACATTTGAGCAGTCTTTATTGGCAGCCAACAGTGGAGAGTATAAGTTCCAGAAAGACACTTTAGAAAATGGTTCTGATGGTTACTATAGGCTACAAACTGGTTTCAATCTCTCAGTCTCTCAATGTAGGTCTGTTTGTTTATACATCTATTCCCTCTCTTATTCCTTCCCCTTTTTCCTGTGGAAAAACTGATTTGTTATTAACTAGTGGGCTTACAACAGGGAAACATTCTGGCATTGTTGGAAGGCTGTCTCGTGCCAATCCCCTTCATAGATAACTACTGTCCTGATTTCTATCACACAAATGATCCTGGGAAATTCTGAATGGAATTGTAGGGTGTATGTGCATTTTCCTACAAAATGTAATACATCATTTGGCTTTGCGAGGTTTGAAAGCACTGGACTGAGCTTCACAGTCAGCAGAGAAAACAGAAAGCCCAAATCCCCCAACAACAAATCTCAAAGAAACAACTGCCTGATTAATAAGTGGGCTAACGACTTAAAGAGAGACTTCTCCGAAGAGGAAATAAGAATGGTCAATAGACACATGAAGAAATGCTCAACTTCTCTAGCCATAAAAGAAATGCAAATCAAAACCACACCGAGATGCTACCTCACCCCAGTTAGAATGGCTATAATCAAGAAATCTAGTAACAACAGATGCTGAAGGGGATATGGAGTCTATTTTGCCTTTGGTATTAGAGGATGGTGGAGAACTACCTGTTTCATGTGCTGTGTGGCCACTGCTGTGCACCCATTGTAGTAGGGTGACTATAGTGAACTATGGAGTCTAGTTGGATACTGTCTTGTATAGGTTCATAATAGTAGATTTTCATTTTGCAAAAGCAGAAACCCAGTATCTATGTAACATCTAACTGCCAATAAACACTTTCAAGCTGCAACAAGTCCACTCAAACTCTTTAGCTGCCAATAAACATTTTTTTAAGCTGCAGCAAGTCCACTCAAATACTAACACTCTTTCTTTGTAGATTACCAATATGGAAAAGCCCAACAATCAGAAAGTTGTTTTCAGGGAAGGGAAATGGGCTGTGGTAAAGAACACAAACTAGGAAATCAGAGTATCAGGGATGACATCTTCCATCACTTTTTAGTCATGCAACTTTGGGCAAGATACTTAAACTGTATTGCTTCAGTTTTCTCATCTATAAACTGAGATAGTACACAGAGCATAAAAGCATTTTATAAATGAGTTAGGATATGCAAAACACTGGGGTCAATGTGTAACATCCAGCTAACTGTTAAGAAAATATTAGCTATCATTACTAATATTATTATGGAACATGGATATTCTTCTCAGGTTCCTAAACAGCACACACCAAGAAGTTGCTCACAGCTCCTGGAGCCTAGAGGGTCCTCATCCTCACCCCCTATAGACATGCCAAGCCAAGGAACCCAGAGATGGACAAGGCTTTCTTGGTATCTCACACTTTGCTGTGAATCTCTATATTGTTGGTGACCACAGGGCCAATCAATCCTGTTGTTACTGATACATTTACTCCTAGGTAAACGATGTTACTTTCTTAGGGGTCTATTCAAGTTTTGATGACAAAACAAGTACTTCCTTTCCAATAGCTTTATAGATCTCAGTGGCAGGCAATCATTGAATCCATGACCTATGTCAATTATTCGTAGCTTTTTATTTTAAAAATTAGTTTTTAAGTTGGACATCTGTGCTTACACAGCTTATGCCTATTATAATCCTAGCTATTCAGAAGCTAAGACTGGAGGATTGCAGTTCAAAGCCAGCCCAGGTAGAAAAACCCATGAGACTCATTACCAGTTAACTACCAAAGTGAAGCTGTTACTCAAGTGGTACAGCACTATACTAGTCTTGAGCATAAAAGCTCAGGGATAGCACCCAGGTCCTGAGTTCAAGCCCCAGAATCAGCTGGGGTGCACACATGCACAGAGTTTTTAATTATATACACAATCAATTAATAGCCAATCATAGTGAAAAGCACAAAATTTCTTTATATATAAATCTGAATTCTGTTTATTACAGTAAAATATATAAATACTTAATTGATCATTTGAACTGTATTAGTAGTAGTAAGTTCATTCATACTATTGGACAGTTACTACTACTATCCACATCCAAAATCTTTCATCTGAAATTCTGTTTAAATATCTTTGTCCCAAAGGCCTCTTTTTTTCAGACAGGTAGAGTATACTTTAAGACAGGATTTTCTATTTTAGTAGGTTCAAACATGCACCACACATTCTGGAATATGTATCAGAGCCTATTAGGTAGATAATCATGAAAAGGTAGCACATTTCTCAGCTTTTTTCACTCCACATTTGGGAAAACATTAGCAAACACTAAAATGGCAGACTTGTTTCAAAAGAAGCAATCACTCTGTTTCTAGATATCAGCTAAATAAATGACTACTCAATTACATTTGCCGTACTCCCTGTGATCCTGTGAAGACATGGCATATTAATAGAACCAGTGTGTATGTGTGTGTGTGTGTGTGTGTGTGTGTGTGTGTGTTTAAGCAAGTGTTATCCTTTACCTTAACTGGGTAAGAATAGACTTTAAAATGCCTATACTCCTGTCAAAGCTAGACATAAATACTGTCATTCCTGGTTTACGTTTTAATTGGAAAACAAAAGGGGAAAGACAACTAGTTTATGAAACATCATATCATAAGCTATACTACGTATACATAAAAATTGTAAGTAAGAAAGAAAAAGTGACAGATTTTGAAAAAAGAAAACTCAGAAGTGTGGGAGGAAAGGCAACTCTTCTACCTAGATGGCAATGGCTGAACAGGAGGCTGAGCATTGACGGAAGTGATGGGACCACACCTAACCACAAGCTCAGCAGAGGTTTTCCACTCTAGGACAACAGGACAGACCTTTTCAAACACAGAATTGAGACTAAAGCCACATATTCTGCAGGGACTTTGGAGGACTGGGCCCCTGAGTGAATGCAGAAGTCTGGGAAAATCACTCACACACACACACACACACACACACACACACACACACACACACACACACACACACACAGAAGCATTGAGATTTTTCTACTCAAAGCTTTATACAATAAACAAAGTAAAACTTGTAATCCCAGCTACTCAGGAGGCTGAGATTGGAAGAATAATGTTCAAAGTTGACTCAGGTAGTTAGGGAGATCTAGTAAAACCAACACACCAGGTGTAGAGGTAGGCTTATAATCTCAACTGCAGGATGCATAGATAGGAAGGTGGCAATCCTAGGTTGGTCCCAGACAAAAGACACAAGCCACCATCCGAAAAATAACTGAAAGAATGAAAGGGCTGAGGTGGTGGTTCAAAGGGAAGAACACTTTCCAAGAAAGCACAAGGCCTGGCCCTCAGTTCAAAACTCCAGTATTGCCAAAAAGAAAAGGGAAAGTGGGGAAGAAGGTAAGGGAAAAGAGAGGGAGAGTGGGAGAGTAGAGAAAGGGAGGGAGGGAGAAAGGTAGGGAAGGAGGCAGGCAGAGGTAAAGATGGAAAGAGGGAGAAAGGGGGAGAGGGAGTAGAGAAGTTGAGAAGAGGGGAGAGAGGAGAGAGGGAAGGAAAGAATATTGTTCTCATTCTAAAGTTTTTGGCATCCCCATCTACACTACCTGTGTACTATGGGGAGTCAGCAAGAGCTTTAGATAATATTCTGAAAGACACTATAAAACAAGTTTAATACAAATGTCAACTAATTAGATGACTTATTAAATGTTTGATTACACTGGAATTCCCTAAAATCAAATGGAAAAAAATAAAAAGTGTGGTTATAAAGCATGAAACACTGAATGAAATCTGTCTTAGAAGAATTCCAGAGAATAAATGAAGTGCTTGAAAATAATGGTAAATGACTTTCAGAACTGAAGACATGAATTTTCAGTTCTGAAAAGGAAAATAAAAATAAACACTAAATACACAGTAGTGAAACTACAAAACCCCAACATGAGGAGAAAACCCTAAAGCAACTAGAGAAAAAACAGAAGACCTATTGAAGACTGTTTCTCATCAGCAACATTAGAGCCTGTAGGCCACAGGTTGGAAAGCTTCTTTTCAAAGGACCAGATAAGGGCTGGGAAGGTGGCTCAGTGGTAGAGCGCCTACCTTGCATGCATGAGGCCCTGGGTTCAATTTCTCTGCACCACATAGGCAGAAAAAGGCTGGAAGTGGCACTGTGGCTCAAGTGGTAGCTCACTATCCTTGAGCTGAAGAGCTCAGGCCCAGAGTTCAGGCCCCACGACTGACAAAGAAAAAAAAAAATCAAAGGACCAGATAAATATTTTAGGCTCTATGACCTACATTTCCTCTGGGAAGCTACTCAACTCTACTTTAGCATAGTAACAGGCAGAGCCAAAAATCACCCAAGGAGGGCTGGGAAGGTGGCTCAGTGGTAGAGCGCTTGCCTTACATGCATGAGGCCCTGGGTTCGATTCCTCAGCACCACATAAGCAAAAAGAAAAAAAGCCGGAAGTGGCGCTGTGGCTCAAGTGGTAGATTTAGCCTTGAGCTGAAGAGCTGAGGGACAGTACCCAGGCCCAGAGCTCAGGCCCCATGACCGGACCCCCCCAAAACAAAACAAAAATCACCCAAGGAATGTCTATATTGCAGTAGGATTATACTTATAAGCATCAAAATTTGACTTTTACATAATCTTCATGTATGGTGAAATATTCTTTCCATCTTTTCAAAGGTAAAATAGGGAGGGCTAACCAAGAGAATGAAGGATAAATATGTTCCACGTGGTTCATTTGCATATATAGAAATAAAGCAATATCACAGATTTCATAGTTCTACGAGGAAAACATTACAGAGAGAGTGGAGGTTGATAGAAATACATTGCTTACCTGTATAGAAATGTCACAGTGGCAGTAGCCTTGTACAACTAGTTTATGCTAATAAAAAAGGTAAAATAAATATCCTAAAATTCACAGGGTACACAAAATAGGAGATGAGCTGAAAATTTGCCATACGGGTTGTAGTTTTCACTTTAAAATATTTACTACTAGACTACTATTTTAGAAATACAAAGAGAAAAGTTACTATTAACCTGGAATGCTCTGCCTAAACAATCACCAAAAAAAATGAAGATGAAATCAAGACAAAATTATTGGTGGGAGTGTAAACTTGTTCAACCACTTTGGAAAGCAGTATGGAGGTTCCTCAAGAGACTACATATGGAACCCCTATACCCAGCAATCCCACTTTTGGGCACTTACCCAAATGATTACAGACAAGGCCATACTAAAGCTACCAGCAATTGTTTATCGCAGCATTATTTACCATAGCTAAGATATGGAACCAACCCAGTAGATGAATGGATCAAGAAAATGTGGTATGTGTGTGTGTGTGTGTGTGTGTGTGTGTGTGTGTGTGTACAATGGAATTCTATGTCTCCATCAGAAAGAACAATACCTCCCCATTTGTTAGGAAATGGAAAGACTTGGAAAAAATTATATTAAGTGAAGTAAACCAGGCCCAAAAAAACATAGGTCCCATGGTTTCCCTTATTAGCAATAACTAGCATATGTTTAGGACAAGCAGAAAAGGTCAAAAGCTATGTACATGACCATATAAGATGATGCTAAGCAAAATGAACCCCAAGATAGAGACACAAGAGGTTTTATCTTTGTTGCTGTTGTTTTTAATGTACTTATAATGTACCATATGATTTTTTTGTTTCTTTTGTATGTTCTTCCCCCATGGTATAACTCTGTTTTAATTGCATTTGATTCCAGTGCCCTGCATCTTGTATAAACATTTTTCTAATTTGGGGAAGGGAAGGGAAATAACAAAATGCTGAAATAAGGATATAGGTTGACCCATTTTAATAATGAGATGTACAAGACACTAATGTTAAAAACAAACTTTACAACTTGGAGAGGTGGAGAGAGGTGTTGGGGAGGTGGTGAGGGAAGGGATGATACGGGAAAAACAAAAGAGGAGGTAACAATGCTCAATAGGAAATGTACTCATTACCCTGCTCATGTAACTGTAACCCCTCTGTACGGTATCTTTACAATAAAAAATATATACAAAAAAATAAAAAGAAATCAAGACAATTATATACACAGACTGAAAAAAATAGTATTAAAAATCTTTGATTGAAAGAACCAGGCAGATATATTTCAGAAAAAAAAATTCAAATCAGAAATGAGTGGCTTACAAAGGAGTGGCCTGAAAAAAAAAAGATAACCATCAATTGACATAAGCACTGATGTCAAAAAGAATAGTAATAGCCAGGCACTGGTGGCTCACGCTTGTAATCCTAGCTACTCGGGAGGCTGAGATCTGAGGATCACGATTCAAAGCCCGGCAGGAAAATCTGTGAGACTCTTAACTTCCAATAAACCACTAGAAAACTGGCTCAAGCAGTGGAGCTTGAGCTGAAGAGCGTAGGGACCGCGCCCAAGCCCCGAGTTCAAGCCCCACTACCGACAATAAATAAATGAATAGAATAGTAATAATTTTCCCTTTAAAATGACCAATGTGACAGAATGTTTGCCTAACATGTGCAATGAAAAGAAGAAAAGGGCAACAGGAATTACTAAACATTAAAAACGTGAGATACAAGCATCAGAATCAGAAGTACTTTAAGGTGCTTGAATTTTTGAGTCTTGCTAACTTGATGGCTTAGGATTAAAAATAAAAAAGGGATTAATGCACAAACTAGCCCGACTCTTTTTAACTTTGGGAAAGTAAGATACTTTAAATCAGTTAGTGATGGAGAACTATTGCAACTATTTTGATATTGTTTCTGGCCCACGGCAGTTTTAGAAAGCTGTGTTGAAATATTTGAAATCAGTATTAATCAACGTTTCTCCGAATACCGAAAAAGTCTTTGCAACGGAGGGAGAAGCCTCTGAACTCATGAGCTACGACGCCATGACGAAACAGAGGCGCAGGTACTGGAGTAGCAGTGACAGGAAGCCAATCCAGACAAAACCAAGTCAGAGCCTAGCTCTAAAAACCAGCTGCCCACGGTGGATCTCACCTACACGCATCCCCCGCACCTGGGAAAAGCAGGAAGGATGATGGTCTGACCCTAGCAGGGACCCGAGGCGGGGCGGTGTCTCCCTGCGGTTGGTTTCCCTCGTAGCAGGCCCCACGCCACGGCTGGGACACGACCCTCGGGACCCCCCCGACAGTCGGAGCCCGGCAGCTCGCCCGGGGCGCGCAGGAATGGTAGTTTCCCGGCCAGCAGATAGATCCCAGATTGCTTCTAGCTCCCCTCCAGGGTGCCACGGCTCGGCCACCCTCCTAGCCTCCCTCAGGGTCGCCCCGGTCCCTGAGAGGGACCTGGGAGGCCGCCCTGCGGTCCCAGACCCAGGTTGTGCAGCCCTGCCGGGCCAGCGCCACTCACCCCTCAGCTCCGCCGAGCCGCCGCGCTCCGCCCACTCTCCCAGGGAGGAGGACGCGCAGCCGGTTACTACGGAAACGGCGCCGCCTTCGTCACGGTGCGTGCGTGGAGGTCAAAGGTCAGCCCTCAGAGTTCCGGTTCCGGGACTCGGTTTGTTGTGAGGGGAAGCTTCGTCGAGTCGGCGAGCTGTCCGGCTGGGTGTTTTTGGGGGGTCCGAGTGTGTGCGGGGATCTCCTCCTGCAGACATGGCGGCCTCCACCGCGGCCGGGAAGCAGCGCATTCCTAAAGTGGCCAAGGTAGGTGGCCCGATCCGCCTTCTGGTGAGCAGGGGGCCTGGGGCGAGAGGCTGCCCCACGCAGCCCGGGTCGTTGTCTGCGGGAGCGGCTCGCTGCTGCGCCGGGGCGAGGGGGAGGGAAGGGGAAGGCACAGGGGAAGAGGGCCGCGGCACCGCGCCCCTGGGCGCGCGGCTCGCCTCCGCGGTGCGTCGGCCGCGGGAGGAGTGGTGTCGGCCTGGCGAAGACGTGCTGCGCAGCGCCCCGGTGGGCAGCCGGGCCTGGACGCGGGTCCTCTTAGTCGCGGTAATCTGTGCCACGAGCCGTGGCGCCCACCGTAATCAACGGCGGGGGTTGGGGGGACGGATAATCCTCTAGCGAACTTGGCGGTGGAAATGACTAAAGCCGAGAACTGAGGGTTGAACAGCTAAGAGAGATTGGAAGTCGACGACAGGTGTTTGGGGCACTGGGGCACAATTGAAGCAAGAGTTGTGTTGTCTTGCTTCTGACGACGTGGCAGGCCTTGGTCTAATCTTAACTCTTCTTCCTGCCTGTCTCCCCCCCCACGTCCCCCCACACACACTCGGCTCATCCTTTCCCCACCCCTCCCACACACCCCCTCCTCCCTCTCCTCCCTTCCTCCATTTATTTATTTACTTGCTTAGGTTTTTTTTTTTAAGAGCTATAAGGCCCTTAAGTCCCCATTAAATATGAACTATCATGATCAGTTCCCCATGCATGGCGTTAAATAATGTTTCTTAAGAGCAAGTCCATAGGCATATGGTCAACGTAGTTTATTTGCACCGAACCCGTTGAAATCGTTTAAGTCGGGAGAGTGACAACAGGTGAGGTTAACGGGATTGTTTACAAGTGTAAAAATACCACAGTGAAATCCCCTTTGTAAAACGAACGGATGCTAATAAAGCCGTCAGACACTTAAAACAACTTCTGTTGGATGCTAGTGGCTCACATAGAAATAGAATGCTAGGACATATCTAATTTAAACGTTACTTGTTAAGCACATTTAAAAAGCAAAAAAGTGGTGTTAACTTTAGTGCTATAATTGTATTCCAGCATATCCAAAAATATTTTAATGTTTACTCATAATGAGAGGAAGTCTTAAAGACCATTGTATATATTGCAACATGAGTCATCCCAACTTGTGACTTACAGGTAGTGTTGGACAGCACAAGTCTTTAAGACCCCAAGAAGATTACAGTGTAATGAAAATACCTTTAGATTAATTTTAAATGCCATAAAAATCAAATCATCCACCAAGGTTATTGAAATATGTATTAATCTATGGTAGAGGTCATAATGCTAAGAAGTAGTACATATTTGATAAAGCAAAAATCTCTGGTGAGAACTTTACCTGAACAGCCTCATGTTTATTATTATCCTCATCTAAAATGAAAAAAGCCTGCCCTTCTCACCCTTTTTTTTTTTTCTCTTGAGAGTTTTGCCCCTGGGTTGGTAATAGATCCTGTGTATGAAATAGAAAATGTAATCTTTTTTCTTTTTTGTATCGTGAAGAAATGTCAACATGTGGTATAGGAGGAGATCTTTTAATCATGCTTAGAAAGTTCACATCCAGAAAAAAAGGGGGGGGGGGAGTCAGCGGTTAAATCTCTGAAGCACACTACCAAAACATAGAAATGTCTGTCTTTTCGCTCCCCCTCCCCCTGTTTCCTTCCCTTTGAAATGTTTATTTGATTGTTAAAATTGATTTTCACTCCCAATTTTAATCAGAGTATGTTTTACATTAAGCTTGAGGGCATAGCTGTGACTCAGTATAAATACATGCAAGTAGTTTTCATTTACATTTACAAAACATTTTTAGTAAAAATATAGAAGTTCAGTTTTCCATTTAAAAAGACTTTTTTTTTCCTTGTGGTAGAGCTTGTACTCAGACCCTGGGCACTGGTCCCTTAGGTTTTGTGCTCAAGGCTAGTGCTCAACCACTTGCGCCACAGCCCTACTTCCAGCATTTTGGTGATTAGTTGGAGAGAAGAGTCTAATGGACTTTCTTGCCTGGGCTGGCTTCAAACTGCCAGTCTTTTGAGTAGCCAGGACTATAGGCATGAACCACTGGTGCATGACAAAAATTTTGTTTTTAATGGGTTGTTTAGCAACATCCTTCCATTGACACTTCAAGGAAGGAAAAAAAAAGAAAACTAGCTAATAGTAGGATCATCTAGTACCTAAAGTTTGGTGACTAGATAATTCAGACTTCATTGTAGTTTTAAGTATTTTCTGTGTGCAAATTAATTCACTTATATGAAGAAATGTCTTCTTTCTTAAAAGGTAAAAAACAAAGCTCCGGCTGAAGTACAGATAACTGCTGAACAACTCTTAAGAGAAGCTAAAGAACGCGAGCTTGAGCTTCTCCCACCTCCACCTCAACAGAAGATCACAGATGAAGAAGAATTAAATGATTACAAGCTAAGGAAAAGGAAGGTCAGTTCATGTGATATCTTTCAGTTTATTGCCAAGAATTCATCCGTATTTGAAGAGTTCCTCATTTTTGATACAATGAGGTTAACGTTTCCAGCTACATGAATAATACAACATTTAGTGACCAGAAAAGTGTATTTTGCCAAAATATATAAATGTTACAAGTGGTCCAGAGCTATAATTTTTGGTGATGTGTCACAGAGTAGCAGATGGAATCACTGGCACTTGAAGAGAGGTACACCTAGCAGGGAGGCGCCATTGTGCACTTCTGTCTGAACCACCATCATTTGTAGTAGTTACTGCTTAGAGGAAAATCATGAAGAGAGCCTTTGGGATCTGATTTGACATCACTCTATGTGGGATTATTATTTTTAAAATATAATTTTATTGATAGTAAGGTATTGTATAGAAGGGTTACCATTTCATAAGTCAAGTAATTAATCTTTCCTTTTTTGACAGTGTCACCCCATCCTTTACTTTCCCCCAGTTCTCCCATCTTTTTCCATATAGTGTATACTGAGTAACATGATTGCATTTGTTCAGTCTTCCTCCCTATGTAGTGTTACATTCTGTGAATTACTGAGAGGACTTAAAAGTAACATTCAAAAATGTTTTCTTTGGGGAACAGGAATAGCGTCTATTAAAGTATCAGTTGTCAAGGGCAGCAGGAGAAAATATGAAAACTTCTGCCAACAAGTCTTCATTTTGCTTGCATGTAACAACTGCATATGTAACTTTCAATAGTGAGTTTCTTATTCCTCAAGGACTCCAGGATGTAATTTCTCTTAAACAAGAACAAAATAATCTTCTTAATACTTGTTTTTAGTGTTTATTATCTTTCAGTAGTTGTGCAAAGGAGTTGCCATTCAACAAAGCAGTTTATGAATACAGTGCCTCTTGATGAGTGCCACGCCAGCATTCTCACCCATCCCTCCCAGCCCACCTCTTAGTTTTTTTCTTAATTGTGTTTGATATGCATTGAATTTCTGACTGCATTCTCCCCTACTTTTTCTCTTCATTTGTCTACCCCACTCTCTGCCTCTTTCAAGGATCTCTTTCTAGGATTTTATTTAGTTGAACTGTGATTTCGACTTTCTAAGGGATTACATTGAGTTCTCCCCTAAAACTACTAGTATTTCAGTTCATAAATTTGTATACACTTGTATACAACCCAAAGTATTTACTTATATATTTATAAACTAATTCTAGCTTCCACATACGAGAGAAAACATGTAACCCTTGTCTCTCTGGGACTGACTTCACAACATAATTTTTTCCAGGTCCTTTTCATTTCTTTGCAAATGATGCAGTTTCTTTGTTTGTTTGTTCCTTCCTTCCTTCCATCCTTCCTTCCTTCCTTTTCTTTTGTTCATTCATTCTTTTTGGTCAGTCGTGGGGCTTGAACTTTGGGCCTGGACGCTGTCCCTGAGCTCTTCAGCTCAACCCACAGCACCACTTCCAGTTTTCTGGTTGTTTATTGGAGATAAGAGTCTCACAGACTTTCCTTCCTGGGCTGGCTTCGAACCGTGATCCTCAGATCTCAGACTCCTGTGTAGCTAGGATTAGAGGTGTGAGCCACCAGCTCCCAACTTGCAATATCATTCTAATGGATGATTAAACTACCATTGTGTATATATACTGCATTTTCTGAATCCATTCATCCTCTGAAGGGTATATGGACTGATTCCGTATCTTGCCCATGATGAATAGTGCTTCAGTGAACATGGTTGAACTGGTGGCTTTAGTATATCTAGCTTGTAATCTTTTGGATAAATTCCCAAGAGTAGGATTGCTATTTGGATTTACTTTATGTCTTTCTCTTGCCTTACTGCTTTTGCCAGCAATTCCAGTAAATTTTTTTTCTTTTTTTTTTTTTGGCCAGTCCTGGGCTTCAACTCAGGACCTGAATACTGTCACTGAGCTTCTTTTGCTCAAGGCTAGCACTCTACCACTTGAGCCACAGTGCCACTTTCAGCTTTTTCTGTTTGTGTGGTACTGAGGAATTGAATCCAGGGCTTCATGCATGTTAGGCAAGCACTCTACCACTAAGCCACATTCCTAGCCCCTCCAGTAATATTTTGAAGAGGAGTGGAAAAAGTGGACATCCTTGTTTCCAATTTTAGAGGAAATGGTTTTAGTGGTTTGTTATTGAAAGCCTTTATTATGTTGAGGAATGTTCCATGTATTTCTAGCGTCTTTTATTATTAGACTGACAATAGACAAAAAGTGAAGGTAATTTTAATATTTTCCTCTTAACATAACCTTTTTTGCCTCTTTTTCAGACATTTGAAGATAACATAAGGAAAAACAGGACTGTGATTAGTAACTGGATAAAATACGCACAATGGGAAGAAAGTCTAAAGGAAATTCAAAGGTGAAATTGCTAATAATATAATTTTTAAATATAAAGGTTTTGTAAGGTAACAGATGAGGAAAAATTTAAGCACAAGTAAAAAGTTGTGCTTCTGGTAGTCATTTTGAGCTCTGCTCCCTGGGAAGCCCTAACGTTTTTTTGAGAGACACTGTGGAAAGACAGTCTTGAGAGCAAGGCAGGAAGAACTTATACTGGTGGTTCTGAATCACTAGTACATGATTGTAGCTAGAGAAGCACATTTCCATCTGCTTTCTATATGGTGAGATTTTAATATAAAATGTCCAGCTGAAAACCAGTGACCAACAAGATAAAAACTGGAACCTGTGCCTCTGTTACCTAGTCTTTCTATGTTCTCCCTTACACCCCTGCCCTCTTGCCTGTTTACTTGGCAATTCCTGAACACATCATTTCTATTCCCTCTTCCTGAAGATGGACATGCCTCCCCACCAATGTAGACCTCTTGGTAAACTAGAACTTTCTTTTAAATTATTAATTCTGAAGTTACCTGCTACCTAGGCTGTTCCACCAGTCATGTACTTTCTCTGCTTCCTGTGTAGATCCAGTATAATGTTCATTACATTGCATTATTATTATATGCTCATCTACCCTTCAGACTTTGTACTATAACTTGAGAATGTTGTGCCTTTTCATCTTTTTATTTATTTATTTTTTTGGCCAGTCTTAGAGCTTGAACTGAGTGCTGTCTCTCAAGGCTAGCACTCTACTACTGGAGCCACAGCACCATTCCAGCTTTTTCTGTTTATGTGGTATTGAGGAATTGAACCCAGGGCTCCATGCATGCAAGGCAAGCACTGTACCACTAAGCCACATTCCCAACCCTTTTTTTATCTTTATGCCAAGAATTTGGTTTGTGGTGTGCATTCAAATAATATAGCGTATTGAAGGTAGTCTGAAATATGGTGCTTCAGATGCTGTATATACTGCTTTTGATACTTTCCAAATCTTGCTTCCTAAGGGCCCGATCCATATACGAGCGTGCTTTAGATGTAGACTATCGAAATATTACACTCTGGCTGAAATATGCAGAAATGGAAATGAAGAATCGCCAGGTCAATCATGCCCGAAATATCTGGGACCGTGCCATAACAACACTGCCACGAGTCAATCAGTTCTGGTAAATTTTTGATCTAACCAAGCAGTTTGTATGTTTATTTTTTTTACAGAGTTGGCAACTTTTTTATATTTTATATTTAACTTTGCATCTTTAATTATTCTATCTTGAAATACTTTAAATATGCTATAAGTGCTTTTTAATTTCTATGTCATAATCTTAATGTTTATTAATCATGTGATCAAATTAACATTGTAGTTACAATCTTAGAATCTTCTTCTTGAAGTAGACGATTTTAAGAAAGTATGTGCTTCCCCATGTTTCACTATTTCCTCAGATTTTTATTTTAATAGAAAATATGTTTGATTTAACCTTTAGGAAAGGTAAAATTTAAAATTTCATGTAACAAAGGAAGCAGTGTAAATTGCTACAGATCATGTATTCCCTAAATCATTATGACCACAGCAGGTATTGATTTTGTTCAAGGTACAAGTACACATATATGGAGGAGATGTTGGGGAACATTGCTGGTGCCCGGCAGGTGTTTGAGCGCTGGATGGAATGGCAGCCTGAGGAGCAAGCCTGGCACTCCTACATTAACTTTGAGCTGAGATACAAAGAGGTGGAGCGGGCACGTACCATTTATGAACGATATATCCTTTGGACAAAACTTGGACGGTTCTGTTGTCCTGGCTCCTCTTCCTCTCTTAGAGATGATGTTGGGTCAGGACACATGGTTGTTAATGTATACAGGTTTCATCACACATTTATTTTGTAGGAACATACAACCAGTTTGCATAGCAGTCTGAAAGTTCCTCAAAAAACTAAACATAGATCCTCCCTAGAGCCTAGCCATACCACTCCTAGGCATCTACCCAGAGCATCACAAGCCATGTTCATTGCTGCACTATTTACAATAGCCCAGCTATGGGAACAGTCCAGATGCCCTACAATAGATGAGTGGATCCAAAAAATGTAGTACCTATACCCGATAGAATTTTACATGGCCATTAGAAAGAATAATAATATGTCATTTACAGGGAAATGGATGGACCTAGAACAAATCATGTTAAGTGAGTTAAGCCAAGCTCAGATACATGGTGCATGTTTTCTGTCATATGTAGAAGCTAGATCCAAAATACACTGGGATATGATAGGCATTCACACAGAGTGAGCCAAAGGAGGATACTGTTAGGGGAAAACACAAAGGTATAATGCCTCTGTGTTTCTGGTCATATAAAATATTTATCAAAATGAAAGAAAGTCTCTTTTGGCTCATGTTACCAATTTTTTTGTGGCATCTTTTCCATCCTTAATCATTAGTACAAATATATAATGGTATCGTATATAATGGCACCATTTAGTGATCATGTCCTTTGGGACAGAAAGTAAAAGGATTAATAGAGGGAGGTTGGTATTAGGTTTCCTTATTTGCATGTGAAGAAAACAGACAAGTTAAAAGATATGTCTTAGGGGCTGGGAAGGTGGCTCAGTGGTAGAGCGCTTGCCTTGCATCCCTGAGGCTCTGGGTTCTATTCCTCAGCACCACATAAGCAAAAGGAAAAAAGCCGGAAGTGGTGCTGTGGCTCAAGTGATGGAGTGCTGGCCTTGAGCTGAAGAGCTGAGAGATAGCACCCAGGCCCAGAGTTCAGGCCCCATGACCGGACCCCCCCCCCAAAAAAAAGATATGTCTTAGGTTATATGACTGGTAATCAATTTGAATTTTCTTACTTCATTATACTTGTACTACATTGAATAAGCAAGGAGGCAGATTGAGGTAAACCAGATTACCCCACCCCTCATGGAGATCACAGATTAGTAGTGATACACCTATGTATGTCTTTTATCACCTTTACTCAATGGTCAGGTTTTGAGGTGGCTTGGTGTAGTTTGTTGACTATTCATTTTTTTTGTTTTTGTTTTTTTTCCCCCTGGTTGGTAGAGAGGTACTGGGATTTGAACTTGGACCTTGCACTTACCAGGAAATCACTTTACTATTTGAGTCATGCCTCCAGTACTTTTTGCTTTCATTTTTCAGATAGTCTTGCATTTATTACTAGACTAGTCTGAACCATAATTCTCCCATTTATTCTTACTAAGTAGCTGGGATGACCAGTGAAAGCCACCACTCTGATTTTTATTGGTTGAGATGCAGTCTTGTAAAGTTTTTACTCAGATTGGTCTTGAAATGCAGTCCTCCCAGTCTCAGTCTTTAAGTAGTATTTCATGTGTCTAAGCCATCATGCCTGGCTTTTTCAAGCTGGGGATTGAGCCCATACTATTGATATTCTAAGCAAAAGCCCTACTACTCAGTTTGTTCTTCCATTGATGCTGGTACTTGGACTTAGAGTCACAGACTTGAGCTCTTGCTTAGCTTTTTCTGCTCATGGCTGGTACTTGAGCCACACTTCTACTTCCAGCTTTTTGCTAGTTAATTGGAGGCAAGTGTTTCTTAAAGATTTATCTGCCTAGACTGCCTTTAAACTTCAGTTCTTAAATCTCAGCTTCTTGAGTAGTTAAGTAGGTGTGAATTGACAGTGCCCAGCCCTTATTTATTTTTTCAAAGTTGTGTTGTCCTTCCTGGTATTCCCTTAATTCTCCTGCACTTGTTCTTGTGCACCCGGATGTGAAGAACTGGATCAAGTATGCCCGCTTTGAAGAAAAACATGCTTATTTTGCCCATGCAAGGAAAGTGTATGAGAGAGCTGTTGAGTTCTTTGGAGATGAACATATGGATGAACACCTTTATGTGGCCTTTGCCAAATTTGAGGAAAACCAGAAAGAAGTAAGTATATTTCATGGACTTGATTATATTACTAAACAATTTAGCAAAAATCACATCTATACACAAGATAATTTGTTTCCTTTTTTTCTTATGCTTAAGGAAAATGTTTTCAAAATACAAAAGCAGTGTCATACAGAGAATAGCATATGTATGTGGTGGCTGTACAGATTGGGAGCTGAATGATTATAAATTATATATTCGTTGTGTTTTGTTTGAAAAAAATTAAGCCTTTAAATCTGAACATCTGTAAATAAGAGTCATTTGGCATCCTCACTAAAGACTTTTGTAGGAAATAAATCTGGGAAACAAACTAAAAAGCCCTTAGAACAGAAAACATCATTTAGAATAAAAACAGACTATCCCCAAAGAAGTCCATAAGGCATAAAACTGTATAGACTTGAAAGAGATAAGCCAAAGTCTTAACAGATAATTACATGATGGGGGTTCAGATTATGCTGTAAAAAGGATGCACTGAGGATTTTTTAGTGGGAGAGAAACTGAATATGATTTATATTTAAAGAGATCTTCTGGCCAGTTTATGGAGAATAAATCAGGAAGAGGGTGGCAAAAATGGAACTAGAGAGGTCAGTGGGTTGAGTCTTGAAATAATCTAGTTAGGAATGGAGATGTGTCTGCAGGGGGAGGAAGAGAATAAAAGGTCTGTGCTGAAGAGGTAGAGTGGCAGGGCTTGATGGAGTAGTAAATGTGGGAAATGAGAAAAGATCCAAGGTGACTCTTGGTCTTTCAGTGAGAGCCAATAAATGACTGAATGTATTGCATGCTGAGAAATGAGAATGTTTCAGGTTGGATGGTGAAAAAAAACATAAGCTCAATTTTGGTCCTAGAAATGTTAGGCAAACAGTGTTAAATGTAGAGGTCAAGGAAGCGTATCAGTTCTTTCTGACAGAAATATCTTCAATAAAAGAGAAATCTTATTCTGGATATTTTGAGGTCTCAAACTGTAATTTGCACGTAATTTATGTCAGTTACTCTCTAAGCTCTGACTAGAGTGGAAAAATGGTGTTGAAGATAATCATCTTTGTTTAGTTTGAAAGGGTACGAGTCATCTACAAGTATGCCTTAGATAGAATTCCAAAGCATGAGGCCCAAGATCTCTTCAAAAACTATACTATCTTTGAGAAGAAGTTTGGTGACAGGCGGGGTATTGAAGATATCATCGTGAGCAAACGGAGATTCCAATATGAAGAGGAAGTGAAGGTGAGTCTATTGTAGGTTAACTGCAGATAACTGAGATACGCTAATTTATACTAGCTACAGAAATATAAGTAACAGCAAATTAGACCATCAGTGATTATTCTTGGGATGTGTTTGTGATGAGTTGGCATCTGTTTCAGACTAGTTGGAATAATGACTGGTAGAATAGGCAAACAAACTATGCTTTATAACTCAATTGTGGAAAGTCCTTTTACTAGCTGCTGACCATGTACTATGGCATTTAAGCAAGAGCCAGGCTTGGTGGATCATTTCTGTAATCCCAGAATTTAGGATAGGTAGAAGCAGGAAGATGGCAAGTTAAAGGCCAGCATGGGCTCTATAGGGAGTCCCCAACAAATCCAGGTGTTGTGGCTCATGCCTAAAATGGCAGTACTTGAAAGGCTGATAAAGGGAGATGAGAGTTTGAAGCCAGCCTGGGATAAATAGCAAGACTTTTGTCTCCAAAACATTTTTAAAAAATGGGAGAAGGAGGCAGAAGTATCACAAGTTTAAGACCAGCCCAGGCAAAGCTTGCAAGACCCTATTTTTGAAACATGAAAGTAAGGGCTGGGCTTCAGTGGCTCACGCCTATAATCCTAGCTACTTAGGAGGCTGAAATCTGAGGATCATGGTTCAAAACCATCCCAGGCTTTGAATGAATTAGGTTTTGCCAGGTGTAGTCATACAACTTTTGTTAGTTGTGGGGCTTGAACTCTGTGCTTGGGCATTGTCCCTCAACTCTTCAGCTCAAGGTGAGCGCTCTACCACTTGAGCCACAGCGCCACTTCTGGTTTTCTGAGTGGTTTATTAGAGCTAAGCGTCTCACGACTTTCTTGTCTGGGCTGGCTTTGAACTATGATCCTCAGTTCTCAGCCTCCTGAGTAGCTAGGATTACAGGCATGAGCCACCGGCTCCCAGCTTGACAACTTTATAATCTCAGCACTAGTGAGCTAAAGCAGTAGAACCCAAATTCCAGGCTTGGCCTAAACAAAGAAAAGGCAGGCTTTGGGATTGTAAGCATAATGCCATTGTAGTTTTATTATCAATACAGTGATGCACAGTCGTGTGCACTTAGAATAGGAACCTCATTATTGAGTAGTTACCTTGGTAGAGAAAGGAGCTTTCTTGTGGAGCAACTAGTCAGTAACGTGCCCTCTGTATTTCTTTTCTCATTCCTTTTATGCAATTTTTAGGGATTATGTTTTAAAATGAGGTAACAAAATGCAGAAGGAAAAATTCCTAAAATATAGAAAGGTATTTTATTGCCTTCTTTCATCTCGTATAAACTTGCCAGTGTAGATTTTTTCACTTGTTTTTCTAGGCTAATCCACATAATTATGATGCGTGGTTTGATTACTTGCGCTTGGTGGAAAGTGATGCAGAAGCTGAAACGGTGCGAGAGGTTTATGAGCGAGCCATTGCCAACGTCCCCCCCATTCAGGAGAAGAGGCACTGGAAGCGCTACATATATCTTTGGATCAACTATGCACTCTACGAAGAGTTAGAGGCAAAGGTAAAAAAAGTAATAAATATGTGCTGACTCTGGTTTTTTTTTTTTGATGTTTTGATTTTTTAAATTTTATTGTAAAGTTGCTGAACAGCGTGCTGACTCTTAATGATTTCTTTTCCCCTCTACTCACAACTTCTCTGTTATGGATAGCAGCTGTCCTTTAAAAAAAGACATTTGGTTTTAGTTTCTTATAGGTCTCGATTCAGTCATATAGATACTCTCAGATACTCTCTATAGGTACTTTAAATTGTCAGTGTACCTGTTAGAGATGCATGTGAGAAGATACTCTCTATAGGTACTTTAAATTGTCAGTGTGCCTGTTAGAGATGCATGTGAGATCTTTGTGTTTGAAACCTTCAGGCGCAACACCATTTCATTTGGAACTTGAAAGACAGTGACATAGCCCATGATTTAAATGTTATCATTTCCTAATTTATCTGCTTTCTCATTAATAGGAATCGGTTAGGTTGTACATTTTTGCTTTTAGTAAATACCAGTCACATTTTCAGAAATTGGTTATGTGCAAATAGGTAAAGATTAACCCTTTATTGTTCTGAGACTATAAAAAATCTTTTGTTTCTTTATGCTGTCAGGCAAAAGGCCTTCTACAAAGAAGCGCTCAGAATTTGATGGCCATGTTGTTGGTGATTCTTAAAGTTTGATGGCTAAAGGTAGTTTATACTTTCTGATAATAAACAGAATCTGCATTTGAAAGTAACAACTTGAGAAAAACTTATTCCATGTTGGGGATGTACATTTTTACTAGTATTCATAAAACTAGAAAGTAGTAAAATTAATTTTAGTAACAGACCTCAGTGTTTTGTCACACTTTCTTACTATAGGATCCTGAGAGGACAAGACAGGTATATCAAGCCTCTTTGGAATTAATTCCTCATAAAAAGGTATGCTTGCTCAAAAGTGTTTAGTCTCAACTGGGTCAAAATCCTGTTGCTTGTGAAATAATGGGATGAAATAAAACTTACTGAATATTTCCCAGTATGTACTAGGCACATGGAAAACAAATGAAATCTCCTTGCCTCTGTAAACAGACTAGTTGGGTTTATTTCAGAGGATAATTTGTGTTGAGTGACAAATGAATAATATAGAATATAATAAAGATAATGTAGAAACTCACAAGAAGCTGGGTAACTTGAAAAGTATGAGTAGAAAGAGAAAGAGACCACACAGCATGTGTGGGACACAGAAACCACTATGCTGACAACTAAGCGCACACATGTATGGATTAATACTGCCCTACCTGGAGTTGGGAGATACCTTACCTCTGCCAGGTTTCCAAGCATAAGAAAAAAATGTTTCCTGCTCTGGAAGTGTTGACTGACTTACCTTCCTAGAAAAGAAGGAATACTCTGCCTGACAAGGAGCTCACAAAATGAAGCCTGTTCCTAAGTAGAGCATATAGTATCATGAAGTACATGGCATATCTTTAACTATTGGGAAATAGTCATCTCATTTTGAATTTTTAAGGAATTTAAATTGCCAGTGACCTTGGATTAAATATAATTGAAATGAATCTTTTAAACTAGATATTTCCATGCTTTTGTTTTCTAGTTCACATTTGCCAAAATGTGGTTATATTATGCACAATTTGAAATAAGACAGAAAAATTTACCATTTGCCAGAAGAGCTTTGGTAAGTAAAAAAATATATATGCTTATGTTTTATAAAAGGAAATTAAAGTTTTCATGCCTAAAGGTCATACAGTTCCTATGTTTAAAAATCAGCAGATAGGGGCTGGGAAGGTGGCTCAGTGGTAGAGTGCTTGCCTTGCATACATGAGGCCCTGGGTTCGATTCCTCAGCACCACATTAGCAGAAAAAGCTGGAAGTGGCGCTGTGGCTCAAGTGGTAGAGCTCTAGCCTTGAACTGAAGAGCTGAGGGACATGCCCATGCCCAGAGTTCAGGCCCCATGACTGACCAAAAAAAAAGCAGCTATTTATACTATAAAAGTGTTCCATTTTATGGATATTCCACATCATGTTTATCATCTCAAAATAAGTAAATAAAACAGCACAAGGGCATTGTGAGGTATGTTCATGATACTAACATTCGAAAGGCTCAGGGAAGAGCACAGCCTAGGCTACATGGAAAAACCCAATCTCACAGAAAATAAAGCAATAGGCATATATTTCTTTATAGCCTAGTCAGAAAACACACATCCCTTGAAAAAACACTGGGCTTAACAATGGAAAGATGTAGAACTACTCATTACTAGAACTAGTGATTTGTTTCTATGGAGCTTCCTCTTACTGTGTCCTTAAGGTTTCTTAATAGTATCAAATACTGTTTAAATACAATTTTCCTTCAGATATGCTCTTTTATTTCTGTGGGCAGCAAGTCAGGTTTTATTCTTTGATGCTTTTACATTTAAAGAAGGTTTTATGTATCTATATCCCCTAAGGAATTCTGAGCTAAATTTAAAACCGCAAGTAGTTTTCTGTATAATTCTAGAATACTACCCTTTGCTAACTAGATACCAGTGACCACAGGCCATCTTGTCAGCCAAAGGAATGTCACCATAGAGCAACAGAATGGCCTCTTGTGTTGATTCCACAAGGTTTTTCCTCAGCAGAAGACAGCTTCTAGGACAGGTTAAGGATGATTGCACAAGTTGAACCCACTAAGGTATCACAATGGTCTGGTCGTTTTAATTTTCCAGGGAACTTCTATAGGCAAATGTCCAAAGAACAAGTTATTTAAAGGCTACATAGAATTGGAACTACAGCTTCGAGAATTTGACAGATGTCGGAAGCTTTATGAAAAGTTCTTGGAATTTGGACCTGAAAATTGTACCTCATGGATTAAATTTGCAGAATTAGAGACAATCCTTGGTGATATTGAGAGAGCCCGGGCAATCTATGAATTAGCCATCAGCCAGCCACGCTTAGACATGCCAGAGGTGAGGATCTCAATTTCAATGTAGTTTCTACACAGTTCTTTAGTATACTATACCTGTTTAAATTTGTTTGGTGTTTCAGAGTACAGAGATGACCCAAATTACCTAGTCTCAGATTAACATTTTTTTCTATTTGCAAGGCAGGAAGAAGTGCTGATGAGTCAGCTTTAAAATCAGCCCCCTACATGTAGACCAGAGCAGTTAAACACAGATGAATTTAGATAAAATGGAGTGGATGATTAGTTCTCTTCCTTAAACAAGGAAGGCTAAAGGGAATGTGGGAAAAGCCTGGCAAAGAAACTGCCAGGAACTGCATTTAGCAGTATAAAGGGATGAGAGTAGTGAATGCACACCCTACATTCTAGAATAGTTTTGCCACAAGATGGCACCACACTACAGCCAGCTAGGACCAGTTTGAGTCTAACAAGAGCCAAGTTAACAGGACCCTGTATGTTAAGCTTCAAGCCTCGCTGACCTTACTAGGGTGGGGCTTTCTGTATCACCTGGTTCTGTTGATCTCAGCCTTTGCCCTGAACTGCTAGTTCCTAGGTGTCCAGGCCAGTTATCTTTGTGCCCTGACAGGCTATAACTAAACATTTTAAATTTGAACTCAAGTAACAAGGAATTTGCAGTGGAGGTACAAACATATGTAGTGGCTGACTTGGTATATTTTCTTCCAGAAGTTATTGTATGTGGAAGGATCATGAAAGTACCTAGAAGTGAGCTTAAAACTGAATCTAAGGTCTTTTTTTTTTTTCTATATCTTGTAGAAGTCTAGCTAAGTTTTGACAAGCTTATTTTACCCACATGCAGTCTATTAATTGTGGCATGAAAGTCCATGTTCCTAGATGTAGGTTACAGTGATAACATGCTTCTACTCAGTGCCATTTAACTCAGTGTCAGGATTGACTAATTATGCTGTTTCTTAGGTGCTTTGGAAATCATACATTGACTTTGAAATTGAGCAGGAAGAAACTGAAAGAACACGAAATCTTTACCGACAATTGCTCCAGAGAACACAACATGTCAAGGTATCCTGTGCCTTGTAAATCTTTGATTTTGCAGGAACTAGCAGTCCTAAAAGTTATACTGTATTTAAGTGATTCTTAAAGAAAATTTATTTTAAATATTTTCTTGATTTTGGAGAGAGCTTATTTTTCTTAAGTATCAAGATTTTAGAACATTAAGCTTATATATAGTCAGTTTATATTGTATATAAATATCTTGAGTGTCACAGAATTGAAATATAGTTTGACTATATCAGACACCTAATTAACTATAGAAATATACTGCTTCATTACTTATGAGGAAGCACCCAGTCTATGTTCATGTTCTTTGGAATGCCACTGATGGACACATATATAAATGTCATGGGCTAGAAATTTATGAATTGTACTGCATTCTGGTCTTATGGGTGACATGGTTAATTTGGCTCTAACTTTTTTTGAAGGTATGGATCAGTTTTGCTCAGTTTGAGCTGTCGTCAGGAAAAGAAGGAAGTGTGGCTAAATGCAGACAGATTTATGAAGAGGCTAACAAAACCATGCGGAATTGTGAAGAAAAGGAAGAGAGACTTATGTTGCTAGAATCTTGGAGAAGCTTTGAAGATGAATTTGGAACAGTATCAGATAAGGAGAGAGTAGACAAACTCATGCCAGAGAAAGTCAAGAAGAGAAGAAAGGTCCAGACTGATGATGGGGTAAGAGCTGTTCCTTGGCACTGTTCACCATTGATGAAATTAGAAATGCATTGGACTGAACTTTGTGGGGCTTTTTTTTCTTTTTTTGGTGTGGGTCTTGAACTTGGCCTGAGCACTATCCCTGAGTCTCTTCATGCTCAAAGCTAGCTCTCTACCATGTGCCACAGCATCACTTCTGATTTTTGAGTTGTTAATTGGAGAGGAGCCTCATGAGGACTTTTCTGCTTCAAACTGCAATCCTCAGATCTCAGACGCCTGAGTAGCTGGGATTACAGTTCTGAGCCACCTGACTTTAACTTTGTATTTTAAAATAGTATATGTACTTCCTAAAATGGAATTCTGGAATAAGTCAATTGCCATCTGGCTAGTTGGGAAAGGTAATTATCGAGAACATAAGCAGGAAGTCATTGTGGAGAGAAATGAAACATTAAGCCAATCCTAAAGATTTGTATGATTAGTGGAAGGAACGTGGGGAGATCTGAAATTTCAGGCTCTTATGCATAAAAAGACAGGATCAAAATGCTAGCTTTTCTAGAACTTGAGGGACTTACATTAGAGGAAGATAACTTTTTAGTGTGGTGGTGTGTTTTGTTTTTGTCCTGGGGCTTAAACTCTGGGCCTGGGTGCTGTCCCTGAGCTCTTCAGCTCAAGGCGAATGCTCTATCACTTGAGCCACAGCACTACTTCCAGTGTTCTGGCGGTTAGTTGAACTTTGCTGCCCAAGCTGGCTTTGAACCATGATCCTCAGATCTTAGCCTCCTGATTAGCTAGGATTACAGGCATGAGCCACCAATGCCCGGATAGTGGGGCCTTTTTATAAATCAAGGGAGAGTGGAAGCTGGCAAGGATGGAAAACATCTAACCATATGGCCCTGGAAATCATTTGGTACACGACAGGACAGACATGTATTCTTGTCTTCGTCTGCCTGTGTCTGTCTGTATTGATAATATTGTATGGCCCTACAAATGTAAATTCCCAAATGAACTTTGGCTAAAAAAGGTTCCCCACCCATTTAGGGCAGTATTTATAATTAAAATCAGTGATCTGAAACTTACAGGCAAGTATGAATAATGTAATGCGTACATTTATGACTGCTACTAAATTAATGGCACTTTAATTCTTAGATTGGCCTTTAATTTTGTACAATTAACATCAGTTAACACTGAACTTTGTTTCCCAGTTAAAAACTCTCCACTTTATGTGAAACCTTCATGTTTCAGCCATGCATTCACTTGCCTTTCATTTCTTCAGTCTGATGCAGGCTGGGAAGAATACTATGACTACATCTTTCCAGAAGATGCTGCCAACCAACCTAACCTCAAGCTTCTGGCTATGGCCAAACTTTGGAAGAAACAACAACAGGAAAAAGAGGCTGCTGAGCAAGACCCTGATAAAGACATTGATGAAAGTGAATCTTGAACACTCATTCATATTAAGAAGCATTTAATGTTTTTTTTATAAACTTAGTTTGGGACTCTTGACTCCTGGAACTTTTTATATATTTCACTAGAAAGGGTTTCAAATCTTTGACAGATATATTTTTTAATTATTATAAAAATGTTTTGTGTTAGTGAGGGGTGGGGAGTTGCAAGTAAAATCATTTTTAACTGATTTTTCTTTATTCAATTATGTCCAAACTTTTCTAATGTTTGCCATATATATTGTATTAGGAAATGTAGTTAAGGTAATGCTTAGCATCTATTTTGGGCAGACATATTTTGAGTGTTTGTCTTTTTTAAAAGTTTTCATGTTCAGTCATACCATTATTTTTCAGGTATAGTTTTCTGATGCTTGTTTTCTTCATGAAGATGTATGCATCCATCTGAAACCTCTAAATTTTTGCTGTTAAGTTCAATTCTCAGCACTTTCCTTAAGTGATTTTCAGTTTCCTCAATGGGGTAATTCTTTGATGGCACATTCTGAAGATTAGAAAAGGAATATTCCTGATGCACAGTAAGTGTTCGGTAAACTATTTGCTCCCAGCCACTTGTGTATATTCATTCCTTTACAGAACTGAATGTGTTTAGGTTCGTTTAGCTCTAATAACTCATAATACCAGCAAATGTTACCATTCTTGTGCTATGTTAAGCTTTAATATGTAGTTACCATAGGTATTCCTCACACAAGGAACCAAGAGTATTAGGTGTCAGTTATGAGTAGGCGTAACTGTAGCACACTGGGAAGTATTAATTGGTACTTCAGGCAGAAAGAATGCAAGGTTGCTGGAGTTTGGGAAACTATGACATCTTCTCTATAGAGCTACTTGGTATTATTATTAATCTTGAAATTAAGATAGTATATGAAGGTGGGATAAATGTTTTTCATCACTGGAGCAGTTGATGCTGAGTCCTGAGATCTGTTAGCCAGTAAGGAGGGAGTTTTTGTGATTTTAATTATCCTCTAGGTGATTTTTCAGAGTTAAGGGGTCAGAATGCTGGGATCCGAATCTGTGAGCATGTGCCATTGGCTTTTAAGAGGAAGTTTTTCTCTTGAAAGACCAGAACATTCTTTCTACTTTAGTGTATCACCAAAAGACTTCTAGGCTCTCTACCATTTGAGCTATTCTGCCAACTCAAGGTTTTTTTCTAAAGGCTTTATTTTTCCCTAAAGCTTTGTAACAAACTGTGATGGAGTATGTCCCTAATATTTAGTAAGCTAAAGCAGAAGGGTAACTTGAACCCAGGAGTTCCAAGCCAGTGTGTACAGCCAGCAAGACCCTAATTTCCTATTGTGTGTGTATGTATATGTGTGTACATATGTATGTATATATACACACATGTACATACGTATATTTACATACATGTACGTACATACATATATATACATATTTTTAATTAGTATAGAATAGAATTTTCTTTACTCTGTGGGTATTTCCCATATTACAGGTAATGAAACTGAACATAAAAATACATGGTATGTATGATCCAATTATATGGTTTTGGGAGATAATGTTTTTTCCTCTTGAAAAAGCAGACTTTAAGCACAGAAGTAGTAGAAGCATGGATCCAGGACCATCAGTATAAAAACAGGTAGGCAGAAAGAAGGAATCTTATCTGGGCAGACATCATTTCAGATGTTCACATCTTTCAGAAAACATTCATAGTCAACAATGTATTTTATTATACATCTAAATTTATACATATTATATATGCTTTTAAAGCTTCAATCAACAGTTCAGTACAAAATAAAAAATACATGTATATACAGCAGTGGTTCTCAGGCACAGAATTGAGGTGGCTGGAGCAATATGCCTATTGTGAACCATGATAGTGGAACATATCCTACTACATAGCTGCCTTCTTGACTGGATTTTATTACAGCAAACCTATTTGCTGTAAAACAATGAATGAGAGTTGGAATCGGTATATGTTCTTGAAGTCTTACTTCTCCTAAAAGAGCTCCAATGTCATTCATTGAAAATACATAGACTACAAACTATCTGGAACATCTGCCTAAGAACCACTGCCTATGGTTATTCAATGTCTTCAGGCCTTACTGGATGAGGTAAGGGTATGATGGATTTCTTCTCAGTATCCCTGGAAAGTGCTTTCCTCATATCTGTTAGGATGAATAGCAATAGGTTTTAATTATATCGATTAAAGTTCCCAAAAGACCTAACCAGAACCCACCCAGGAAGTAGCTTATCAGAGAAATGGTTTTTTATTAACAGTGAAGTAATAATCTATAGGAGTTAAGTATAACTAAGGTATATTAAAAGATCAAATGTGATTTTAAATTTATTAAGACTATACTTCTTTTGGAGTTACTGTCAGGAAAGGGAGCTTACCATAAGCATCTTCATCAGGCTCCCCATTGCTGGCTGAATAGTACTCTATGACTGTCCTGTATACACTGTAGCCCAGCCGCTTGTACATGTTAACTGCAACTTGGTTAGACACTCGTACAAAAAGATCAACAAAAAATCCACCCTTTCTTTAAACAAAAAAAAAGAAAATGTTAGGAAGTAATAGGACTACTCAGAATGGTTATTATTGATGACCTAAAAGCAATTTTAATTATTTAGGATTTATGGCAATCATTTTGCAGTACAAACCTGGTTCCTAAAAATTAAATTGCTATGTGGCCATGGCCCAAGTATAGGTAAAGGAAGCAAGTAACAGCCAAGTCTCTGCTTAGTAACATCCCCTTGTTCATTCAGGTCCTACCTTTCATTTCTAGACTCTCTCCTTCCCATCTACTATAAATTTACCATCAACTAGTTTCTTCTGCTTATGAATTTCAGATAAATAAGAAGTAGAATCCTACTTAATACATTTCTACCATAGTTTTACCTACTGATTAAAAATTCTATGAATCAGCTGGATACCAGTGCTTTACGCCTGTAATCCTAGCTACTCAGGAGGCAGAGATCTAAGGATCATGATTTGAAGCCAGCCAGGGTAGGAGAATCCCATGAGATTCCTATATCCCATTAACCACCAGAAGTGGTGCTGTGGCTCAGAGGGCTAACCTTGAGTGAAAAAGTTCAAAGACAATGCCTAGGTCCCAAGTTCAGACCCTATAACCAATTTAAAAAAATCCTGAGGCAAGATTGCTGGTTTGAAACTTAGTTTGATAGGTTACTTAAAATACTATGCAACAGATATTATTAGGTGCCCTGAAAAGCCTGAAGATACTGACCCAGAAGAGGTTTCTTGAATTTGCTCTGTATCCTTAACCATTTCTGCCGGAATGTTCTCTGAATCTGTTTCTGGGTACATATTCAGTTGTTTCATGTTTCTCTATATGCAGTGACCCTTACTTCAGCTATAATGGAACTATTACCAATACACATGTCATCTTTATTACAATTTGCATTACTTTAAATTTTTTTCTTTTTCTTAAACAGAATATAGGCAGTTCGGTCTCCGTGCTAGTGGGGATGTAACCCAGGGCCTTTCACATGCTGGGTAAGCACTCTATTGCTACTGGAATCCTGAGTCCACTAATATTTTGCTAGTTCCTCTTTAATGTATACATGTAAAGATACATACATATAAGCAGATACCTTAAAAGTCATCCTAAAAAGGGAACTTAATTTTCTACTCAGATAATAAGTTCTATATGTGGAAGGCAGTTTTAGACCCCATTTCTAGCTCTCTCTCTGCCACACAATAATGCTTTTTTTTTTTGCCTGTCCTAGGACTTGAACTCAAGACCTGGGCACTATCCCTGAGCTGCTTTTGATCAAGGATAGCACTCTACCATTTGAGCCACAGCACCATTTCAGCTTTTGCTGCTTATGTGGTACTAAGGAATTGAACCCAGGGTTTCATGCATGCTAGACAAGCACTCTACCACTAAACCACATTCTCAGCCCCTGCTTTTTTCTTTTCCCCCAACAGATATCAGTAATACTGTGTTAAAAAACTTTTTGAAAAATCAAAGACGAGCATAGATCTTCATTTCACCACTCAGTTCCTTAAGTCTCTGAATTCATGTTCTACTTGAAACAGAACATTTATAGCCACAATTGTTTCTTTTAAAACTTGCCTTTATTAAAGCTAATAATAACTGTGTGGAAACTGTAATAAGTCTCCAGAACTGTCTCTCCACCTATCCTCTTGGTCAGAGACATTTCTCTCCTAAGATAGGAGCTCCTATCACTTTTTTGTGATTTAAAAAATAGAACACACACACGACAATCAATGGAAAATAGGAGTGTAGGTAGTTGTATGTACTAAATCTGTTCCATAGTTTGAAGTCATTTAGTGCCCAACAGGTATATACCCATTAAAACCCATGGCTTAAATAAAAATACATTTTAGCTTGGGCATATCTGTATTTCTAGCAATCAAGAGGCCAGTCTGGGTTACATAATGAAATCTTCTCTTAAAAAGAAAAGAAGAAACAACAAGGAACACCAAAAAATATGTCCAGGGCAATCTGAAGAGAATTCAAGAGCATCTGCTTAGTGACAAGAACATTAAAAGAAACATTACTTGAAGGCTGGTCTTTGATCAGTTCTGCAGCTTACAGGCCTCACTTTGCAAACCAGGAACAATAATACCATTCTTTCTGAGTGACAGAATTGTTGTGCGAACGATAATCCTATAAATGTTCAACAAATAGATGATTAGAGTTCCTAAATTATAAAGTAGTGTGTTTGAAAAACAAGATCTCACCTTTCTGAAATCTCTTCTAATAATTCCATAAGTTTAGCAGCCAAACCAAGGCGTCGAAATTCAGGGGCAACAGACAAAGCTGTGACATGTCCATGCCATTCTTCTCTAGCAACTGAGCCTTCTGCTTTACCCATAACTATCAACAACAAAAAATACAGGCAATAGTTAAGACACACTGATTTACACAGAATATAGTCAGTGCTTGATGCATCATTGTTAAGCAGAAGTGGGGAGAACCTTTTTTCTGTCAAGGGCCATTTGGATAACAAAATTATCAATACAGGCATACAGCAACAGGCAGCTGACGCAAAGCATATGTAGTTTTGTCCCACCATGTACCAGATGATTT